GGGGGGCGTTAGCTGTGGTTTTGGCTGTGATGTGGTCGACGCTGAGGTCTGACGGTTTTTGTCAGAAAGATGCTGACGCCCATCTTCTCTCCGACCCACTTTGACTGACAGAGCGGAAACCAGAGTGATCTGATTACTCACTGGGTTTTAATTTGATTACCATCAGAGCCGTCAGCACTTTTCTCACAGCAGGAAACGTCAGCGAGTCTCAGCAGCGACACCTGGAGGCTGCAGAGAGAAACCTTTACCTTTCTTATATTGCTGTCCTGTTCGTCCTGAAGGAGGCGCCAGAGGAAACATCATGTTGGACCGACAGGAAGTCTCTCGAGTGTTTAGACTGATGAAAATAACGATACCAACAAAGAAGAGTTGAGTGTCCATTAGGTCTCCAGCGTTTCTCACCACTTTCATCTCATTAAAGAATTTAATCATTTAAGTTTGGACTCGTTTACTTCCTGTTCGCAGAGATTTGCGCTGGATGTTCTTTCATTGGTCCATGCAGCTGACATCACCGAACGCTGGAGACTCTGATCTAACTATAAAAGTTGGATGAGAGTTTTTTTGTTTGTTTGTTTTAATATCTCATGATTTTTATTTCGAAATACAACATCAACTGAACATCCAAAGAAACGAGGGTGAACCAGGACGCAGCGGCTTTCTAACGAATGATGAATGACGACCTGTGGGGTTCTCGTTGTTTTTAGATCCTTTTTACTCACCTGTCTCTCTTTGTCTGCAGCTGATTGGTTCATCTGGATCACCTGTGTGTCCCAGAGTGCAACAGTCCTGGCTGCCTACTGCTCACCTGGTTATGTCTTACTTGACCACACCTGCACTCACATACCTCCCTCCTGCTCACCATACATCACTGATCTTTCTGATCTCCACACCTCATACTCACAACATTTAATTTGGTTTAATGAAAATATTCTTAATGAGTGTGTCTCCCCCCTTTTGTTGTGGCCACTTGAGCCAGAGACACCTGGAGACACCTGAGCTGCGTCCTGATTCAGGGGACGCCGTGGTAGACCGAAATGAAACAGCACCGCCTCCAGCTACAACATTAAAATGCTGCTTTAACATTTGTGCTTTGATAACAACATTATGATGTTTTAGAATAATTTATACTTTGACTTTGTATTTGAAGAAGTAGATTCATGCTTGATAAACGATGATCGTCTCCTGACCTGAACATCCCTACCTCCCTTCACACCTGCTGGATGTGGGGCCTGATGAACCTGTTTGAGTCCCTGGACCTGGAGTTTGTAGTTGGGTTCATCACAACAACTCTCGTTTCTATTTTCAGACATTCAACAATTATTTTACTGTAATCGACAGAAGCAGTGGACAAGTTATGAAAATGAAAGTGTGGTTATAAACCACAGAGAGTCTGTGCTGAGCAGACTGAGAACTGATATCAGTCAGTCGGAGATAATTTATTTATATTGAAACTAAGATGATAAAAGTCAGAGCTCAGAGACTGTGGACAGTCTGGTCAAACTGCAGGTTCAGGTTTATTCATATTGTTCTTTAATGCTTCAAACTTAAAAAAGGTGACGCTAAACTCTCTGTGCAACACTTCAGCTTCACACTCAGATAAATCAATAAGAACAACTAACACACAGTGAACGTGGAGTTTCTCTCTTTATTAAACGGCTTTAGAATCGTTTGTTTTGTTTATATTTTTATTGATCTTGTAATATTTATTTAGTGTCGTCTCTCGTGATGTTTGTCTGCAGCTCAGGGAAGTTTTCTTGGTTAAATAAAATCAAAGAAATATGCAAATTTAAAAAACTTAATTTTTCCAGGAAGTCCCATTGAGATAAAAAAAAAGAAACTCCATAGAAAACATAAAACATAAAATCCCACATATAAGACATGACTGCAGTTTGATTTGGTTTTGGTTTGTTTTTTTGCAGATGATTCCATTATTTATTTTCACTCTGACTGTGACTTCTGATCTTTCAATAGGAGTAAATTAATTTAAATGTGGTGACACTTTTCTTTCCATAAGAGGCCTTTGAGCGTTTCGAAGATGAGGGGACATCAAAGAAACAAACACAGGAAGTGCCTCAGATCAAAGATTAGCATCAATCCATCAGTCAAACCAGGTCGTGGCGACCTGGCAGTGTGGGCGGAGAAACAAACAACAGACCTGATAGTGAAGAAGCTGCCGCCCGACCTGAGTCACAACACGACCGTAAACCAGGTCAGACTGCAACACACAGCACATCCTGCATCACATGACTGACTCAGCACATCTGAAAACTGCACACATGAAGAAAGAGGGGACCAGGAGCCTCCGGATCAAAGAACTGTGATGTCGGACTGGTGAGACGTTTCTCCTGTTGCATCACACACACAACATTAAAGCAGCCGTGATGCGGAGTGTGACGTGACGTGACGATGTGAAGATGTGACTCACACACCTCTTATCATCATCATGCTCAGGTGAATCATTCGTCCCACAGTCACCGATGCCCCAACTGTGATTTTATTCAAACATATTAAAACAAATCATCAAATAAAACAAGAAACAAAATCATCAAATAAAACAAAAATAAATAAAAACAAATTGTATCTTTTTAAATGTAGTAAACTGAGTTAAAATGTCAGACTCAGATCTTGTGATTTCACCACCTGAAAGACTCAGTAACTCTGACCAAGTGACATGAATATGAAGATGTAATAGATTCAACAAGACGACAAGTCCTTCAAAATAAACAACAAAACATGTTGTTTGTCTTCACCTTTCAAAATAAAACAAAGTATTAATGTGAGATGAGAAAGATTCAACAAAGGTCAGCAGCTGGATTATTAAATTTGTTTATTTATTTATTTTAATTTGGTGAAAGAAAACAAAGTGACAACACAACAAAATAAAATAAAAAAATATAGATATATACATACAGATATACATATTTGTATGTATATTTGTGTGTATATATATTTGTATAGTGTTTTTTTCTTCTTTTCTATCTCCCTCTCAATAATTCAAAATATAAATCTATAACAAAAAGCTGTCAGTTGTTTTGTCCTACTACTACTGTAGTAGTTATTGTCTGCTGTTACGTATATACTGTATATATGTTATGTAACACGGTTCATGGTCTCTATCCAAAATCATATTTGCAGCGTTGTCGACACTGTTTGTCACTTCCTTCTAAAACCATTAGAAGTAACAGATTTAATATGAAGACGACACCAAAGCCATGAATATATACAGTATATTCTGTTAATATAATGATGAAATGCACAAAGTCTTTTTTGCAACTTGCTAAATACGTTAATTTGTCAATTAATATATAAAAAACAACAAGTTCTCCAAACTAAATGACCATATGTGTCATGTAAGAGCCAATTAAGTACAGAACCTATTTGTTGATCTTTCTTGCTGAGAAGTCATTTAGATTCTCTTATTCAGGTTCTACATTTATTCAAGTTCGTACAACAGTCCCTGTATATACCCACGTTTAGACTTTCAGTTCCAGGTACTTTTCTTCAAAGTAGAAGATGATGCAAAATTATGACTTGACATTATAATTATTCACTTTGAGGACGTCACATGAACGGAAATACGGGACAAATTGCATTTTATTTCAAATACGTGACGATCCCATATTATACGTGACATCAGCCACTCCGGTTGTTGAGGTCCTTTATCTTTTTGAAGTCCTGTTTCAGTTTTCTTTCCCTCTCGCGGACCTGTCTCACGCTGTGGAAAATGTGTTCGTTCGATGCGGACTGTTAAACATGGCGGGTGAAATAAAATGCAGTGAGTACTCCACCAGTCAGAAATGGTCAGCACTGCGCCCCCCCCCCCCAAAAGTTCCTGAACCTTTGGAAAGTTCTACTACCCCTCCCTCCGAAGGTACTTTGTGGGGGTCGATGCATTACGGCTGGAACTAATTTAGCCTGGTTCTGAGTGGTTACGCTTCCTCTCCATTATTTAAGTGAACAGTTATATGTTTGTAGTTTACGACAGGTGATTGTGCCATAAAGCAGTTTGGTGCTCTGGATAAAGCCACACTAATAAGATGCTGAGAACTCAGCAGAGTTTAGATCGATATAAGTTTGTGATTGTGTTAAACTTGACGGATTTAGCGCCATGACAACGTAGAACATCAAGTCTGTGATGGAGCGAGCTGAGATGGAGAACTGAATTAAACCCTCGTTCAGGTGTTCCTGCCTGAGTGTGAGTAGATTGGGTTTAAGGTTGGATTCATTCAGGAACACGAGTCAGAATGAGACGCTCTGCAGACGGAGTGGCCCAGGATTTTACAGCATGGTATAACAGCCATAACAAGTCACCTGTCTCTACCCAGCTGCAGGTGTACCAGACCTTCGTCGTCATGGTTACTATAATAAACACCACGTTTAAGGTTTAAACAATGCCAATCATCAAATTAATTATCATCTCTTGTGCTGAAGAAACTGCAGTTTATTGGTTCGTTTGGCACTTTGCAGCTGTGGTATGGAGCTGCACATCAGAGCTGATAAGATCAGAATCACAAACAGGGTTGAGGTCAGGACTCTGTTCAGACCAGATGCAGATGAATTCATGCAGCTGGATCTGTGCACAGAGGCAGTGAGTTTGTGGCAGGAAAAAACTGCTGACACAGAGTTAGAAAAAAAACTATTGTTTAAAACATCAGTGTGAGATTTATGTTCATTTGAACTATGAGGACCAAACTATGGCAAACTGACACCATCAGATTAAACATTCATTTATATAACTTGGTGTTTTAAGGTGGAGACTTGATGACCTAGAAAATCTGCTGCAAAATTTCATTGCAGAATAATTTCACCTCTTTATCGGCTGTGAAAGTGGGTCAGAGCATCAGACCAAAGCATGCGATCTCATCTGCGTGGTGAAGAAAGACAGAAAGATGTTGACATCATCAGCGGAAGTCCGACAGCAGTGCTGACTCTGATGTGCATCAGAATAAAAATCACAGCCTTCAGCGATGTCCACCAGAACACCAGAGAAGAAGAAGACGACCACCACCACCATCTGCGACTTTACAAACACCAGCAGAACGAGACAGCTTCAACCTAAACTTCAAGAGACACAACAGAGACCAGACTGTCTGACCTGCAGGTTACAGCCTCTGACCTGAACCTCCAGCAGAACCTGAGGAGCCTTTGAACACAAAGAAGAACAACAGCAAACGCTGAAGTCTGAAACATCTGCAAAAAGAGCGCATCTGAAGAAGAAGAACCAAGACGAGGACGACCATCAGCATGTTTTCAACATCCACCTCCTGCAGAAAGACGGTGAGAGCAGCGAGTTCTAACTTTATTATTTTATGTAAATCAGTTCAAACAGTGTCGAGTTCAGAAGTTTTAAAAGTTCAGAAATATCAGTGTTTCCCTCCAAATGGTAAAAGCTCATCTGTTTGAAGTATAAAACATATGAATAACACGCTCTATTTACTAGAGAGTAAAATTTTTTTATTTTATTTGAAATTAATTATAAAACTGAACTAATTATAATATCATTCTAATTTTCCATGTAACATGTTTATTGCAGCTTATTTTTATTTCATCGTAGAACTTTTAATGTTGGGAGGCTGAATGAGAGACGGCCTCTGATTGGCTGAAAAACATGAAATAAAAACATAAAAAAAGCATTTTTAAACAACCCTAGAGATAAAAATGAACCTCGATAAAACCCAGAATGTGTTTTAATCTATTTTATGTTACATTACATTTGTTTGGCAGATTATTATTTTTTGAAGCAACTTCACAATAATTTTATTCAAACTCAATAAGAACTTCAAATAAATAACTAAATATGCTCTTCATTCATAATATCACATCTATTTTTTTCAGATACAATCAATTTGATATTGACCACTTTGGGACTCCATATAGGGTTAAAGTCTATGGTGTTAATGCTGCTCATTTTATTTTTTGTTTTATCAAATTTGTTTTGAAGGAAAAACATGTTTTCATTCTGTTGACAATGTTTTTATTAATAATATTATTTTTACTTTTAAATATATTTTATTCCCTAAAACTTTAAACATTGAGTAAAACTTTTTATGTTTTGTTGATTAGATTGTTCAAATATATTCTATTTATAATTTATGTAATTTATAATTAGCATGTTATTCATTGCTGGTGGAAGTTGTTTTCACAGGTGTTTTCTTAAATTTCACGTGTGAATTTGTTGCATGTGATTTACATGTAATTAACATGTTTTTTTATGTGTGTTACATTTAAATTAAGTTACAATAAAATAAAGAGTATATAATAAAATAAAACACATGATTTAGAAGGTTCCGGGTTCGAGTCCCGGCTTGGACACGGGGTCTTTCTGTGTGGAGTTTGCATGTTCTCCCCGTGCCTGTGTGGGTTCTCTCCGGGTTCTCCGGCTTCCTCCCACAGTCCAAAGACATGCAAATGGGGACTAGGCTGATGGAAGACTCTAAATTGACCATAGTTGTGAATGTGAGGGTGAATGGTTGTCTGTCTCTGTGTGTTTGCCCTGCGATGGACTGGCGACCTGTCCAGGGTGTACCCCGCCTCTCGCCCGAAAGGATGCTGGGATAGGCTCCAGCCCCCCCGCGACCCTACTAGAGGATAAGCGGTAGAAAATGAATGAATGAATGAATGAATGATTTATTTCTTATACATGGAAAAGTAAAAGTAAAAAAACTCTCCTCCTCTTCCTCAGGCTGCCTGTGTTGTGGCAGTGATGATGATGATGATGATGATGACCGTGACGGAAGCCGCAGCCATGCTGAAACCAGGCGGACATTCGAAACACCCATCGAAGACACACAGGAAGTCTGATGGTGCGACAGTAGAAACGGTCCCCCTGCAGCTGGACGCCAATTCTTTGGTTCCTTCCAGAAACATTAGACCTCTTGAGAACGACTCCATCTCCCCGTGGACGTACAAGTACGAACACACACCAGTCTCTCGTTAAGGATTTTAATTCAGATAAAATAATTAAAACAGAATTAAAGTTAATCTGATATTTACATGTTTTTGTCCCTTCTCTCTCTCCGTCCTCAGTGTCTCCCACGATGACTCCCTCTACCCCTCGGTGCTGTCTGAGGCTCACTGTCTGCTGCAGGGCTGCCTGGACTCGGAGGGCCAGGAGGACCGGAGCCTGGAGTCCAGACCCATCATGCACCAGGTGCTGGTGCTGCGGCGAGTCAGGCCGGCAGGGGCGGGACAGAACTACCACTACAGGTTGGAGTCCCGCCTCATGGCAGTGGGCTGCACCTGTGTCCGACCCATAGTCACACAGCAACAGTGAAAACCAGCAGAAACCAGACCAGGACCTGGGTTAGTCACACACAAATGGAGGCTTCGGTACGGAAGATCAATGATGCCATAAAAATATAAAATCCTGACAATATAGAAAAAAAAATACAAAAGTGTATGTTTTACCTTTCTTTCTCTTTCTATACATTAAAAATAATATAATAATTATAATCTATTAATATTTATGTAGCACAGCAAAAGCAATTGTACAGTCTTTTTTTCGATTTTTAAATTTTTGAAATTACATGATTGACATTAATCTTGTCATTAAATGCAAAAATTTCTGCAAATTTTATTTTGCCATAATGTGAAGAAATTAAAAGACTAAATGAAGAGCATGAGTGATTGACCGGTTTAACTGAGGTCACTGAAGAATGATAAAATCAGATAAGATGTAGAATTGTGAGTCATCTGCATAGAGACTGAGACTGATATCATGCTTTGAAATATTGAACTGAAATATGTTCATTATGGTTGTAATTATGATTGTAAGTCATTATCTAATTATCGAATAATTAATTATAACTTTAAAAATTGGAGTCTAGAATCTCATAATTAAGATATTGAACCAAAAATATGACCCTGTATGTCATAGATGAAATAACTACATATTGTATCTCATGATTTTGAATTAGTGACATTTGTTAATTAACTCATAAGTAACTAATGTTTGAACATTTATGTGTGTCCCCTACATGCTGCTGTTTCATATACTGTGTACTATTTATGGTTTAAGTTAATTGAAAATGCATTTTATTTAAATGTTGTATTGATCTTCAGTAGGTATTTATTGGTGATGTTATATTGATGTTGATGTATTTATAGTTCTGAGGCTGAATGTGGAGTTGACTGAATAAAAAGAGATGAACAAAGACGTAAAGTGTCATTGTTTTATTCTTGAATTTAAAATATAATGTGATTTCTGTACATCATCATCATCATCATCATCATCATCATCATCATCATCATCATCATCATCATCATCACCATCACTCCCTGACTCCTTTACAATAACATTGCCAGGGAAACACACTCACACACACACACACACACACACACACACACACAGAAACACACCACTGCAGCTGTAAACACTGTACACAATCGATTATCAGTTGTTCATCAATTAAATTCGCTCATTTATATCAGCGGGGGGGGGGTCAGTATGATGGTTATTGGACAGGTAAGTAACCTGTGATGTAGCTAATGTTAGCCATTAGCCACATGAGCTGTTTGTAACTCGTCTATACAGAAATGTAGCTTCAAGTGATAGCATAGATGCTAGCATGCTCATTGTAGTACATTGTCTTAATATGAAGAAGTATGAGACAAATCCAAATATAGAATCTGAAAAATAAAAACTGGGATGTGAAATCTCAATAAGGATCTCAAAGGTTTTTTTTAATCATTTATTACTTGTCTCAGTCTCATGAGTGTTTGACTCTGACTCTATTTTGTGGCTGTTCTGAACTTTAATTTGTCTCGGCCTGGAGAAAGTTCATTTGAATGCGTCTCAGTATCACCTGTGCTTTGACTCGTCTTGGGCAGGTGAACCGGATTTGTGGACGTTTAGACTCGGACTTGTCTGGGGTTTCTTCAGCGTTTCAATCTGAACTTGTCTCTTGTCATTGTTCTTTGTTTTAAGTGAAAGCAGTCTCTTTGTTTTCTATGTTTTGACTCGTCTCGATCTTGTGAGCGTGCTGACTCAGATTGTCTCGGTTTTGTTGGTTCTCTGGATCTGATCTGTCTCAGTTTGGTGGACGTGCTCAACCGGACTTTCCTTTCTAAATCGTTTGTTTTTTGCCTTTACTGGTCTTGTTCTTGACTTGATGTCAGAACTGCTCGCCTCATCTCAGACTGGACTTCGGTGGTCTGGACTACAACCCTGTGAGAAAGTGGCTCACCTGCTGACTTCCTGTACTTTCCTACAGCTGCCATTAGGCGTCAGCCTCTGATCAAACCTTTCTCTTCCTGCTGTTTTACAGTAAATGCAATGATGTTAACTGTCCACCAGATGGAGCTGTTTAACTATATCCAGACTCCTCTTGCTGAACTCTCCTGGCAGGTGGATCTGGTCTTCTGAGGACTTTGATCCATTCGGGTAAAAGTTCCTTGTTTGGGTTTCAGTCCAGGTTCTGTCGGGTCAGGTTTGGTTGGGTTGGGCACAACTTCTAAGACTTGTGAAGGCGTTGAATCCTTGACACACAGTCACACACACATGAACACATTGGCACTGTTGGCATGGCAACAAAGCACAGTAAAACCCCTGTGAACCATCTAATGATGACTGAATCTGCAGCGTCCGTCAGTTTATCTCGTTAAAAAGAGTCCTGGTTGTTCAGAGGAGGTCGAGCGCTCGAACTCGCCCTCAGTCCTCCTCCTCCTCTTTTTCTTCTTCTTCTTCTCTCACTCTTTTCAGAGTCTCTTCCTGTCAAGTCTCCCAGTCGGAGCAGCGCCGGGCTCCCGGCATATCAACACTCAGCTTGTCAATCCTCCAAAATGGCTTCCAAATAAAGTTCAGCTTGTGTTGTGATCAGGCCATCAAGACACCTGGAGGTAGAGAATAGAGGGTGAAGTCAGTACAGTGACTCCCAGTCATGGATAAACTCTGTTCATCTCAAAATCATTAGAGATCTGACGTGTGAAAACTACTAATTGTTTGTCTTTTAGGAAAGGTAGGACTCATTTTAAAGTTTAAACTTTCTCTGGATCAGGTAAATCTACCTTTGGTCTGTTTCTCCTGGTTCTGTCTACGACCCTGATGTCACATGACGTAAGTCTGGTAACACTTTCTAATAGACTGTGTGATTTTGTTGTATGAATGGAACTTGAATGTAGGTTCAGTGGAAGGAAACAAGATTATGAAGAACGACTGGACAACATTACGTAACAGCTGTTTTTGTCAGATTTTCTGTTGAAGTCATTTTACCTAAAAACTGCTTTAAGAAAATAGTCAAAGATTTGTTTTGCTTTTTTATCATAAATCCATTTCTATAAGGAACAACAACAGCTGTTCTCCACAGTCTTGTTCCTTCATCACAGTCAGTCTAAAAACATCACTGAGCTTCAGAATTGTTGCTAGGTGTGTTTTTGAATTTTGGACAGGGCCACGCTAGCTGTTTCCCCCTGTTTCCAGCCTTTATGCTAAGCTAGGCTAACCACAGCCTGACTCCAGCTCTGTACTGAACACACAGATGTGAAACTGATGCATTTTCCCCAAAATGTCAAATGTCATGTGTTTGTTTGTTATGTAGAACGTCTCCTCCTCCTCCTCCTCCTCACCTCCACACTGTGCTTGTCCTGAAACACAAACACAAACAACACAAACTCATCAGATCAGAGATTCATGTGTCTGTAGCAGAATCTTCATCATCTCAGTAAAGGAGTGAAGTGCGACAGGAAACGAGCCTCACCTCCTCCTGCAGCTGCTCCTGTGAGGCGTTCAGGTGCATCTGCCTCTGTTCCTTGTCGGCGTCGGCGCGGTGCTCCTGGCGCTCTTTGGTCAGAGCTTTCTGAGCAACTTCCCGCTCGTGCTCCCTCCTCTCAGCCAGGTGCTTCAGCAGCTCCGCCTCCTGACACTAGAGGGAGACAGAGCCACAGTTTACAGACTTTCTCTTTTCCAACATCCACTTTTAAAAAACAGAAGCCAATTAATTTTTTGTCACAAGCTTCTTGGTGGTTTTCCTGGTAAAATTGTTTGACTCCATGATGGCGCCACAAAGCAACAATCTGTGGTTGATTGATTGAATATTGATCAAAAGTCAAAAGACCTGTTTTCAATCAATTTGCTCAGATTAAACTCTAAAATAACTAGTGGCGTTCCTCAGGGATTGATTTTAAGACCTCTCTGTTTTTGATTTTCTTGTCAGTAGATCCATCATTTTGGTCCAGATTGAAATTTCTCAGCAACTCATGCCCCAGAGAATGAACCTTACAGATCATTTGTTGTTTAATTATCACCAACAGTTCGACCACACACTGACTAAAATCTAAACTCCACTGTCGTCGGTCTACACACCTTCCTCCTCTCCTGAGCGGCGTCCAGTTTCTTCTGGATCTCCTCCAGTGAGGGTTTTTGGCGAGGTGGCGTGGTGGCCCTGAGTTCGGGGCCGCCGTCGAAGGTGGGCGGCTTCAGGATGACCTCGAAGGCCTGACCGCTCGCCCGCTTGCTCAGCTCGATCACCTCCATGTCCCGGATGTTGCACAGGTTCAAGTCCACCACACCTGCTGCAAGAAGAAGAACACAAGACCATGAGGCGACCACAGAAGACGGATTATTTCTGTTTCCTCTCACTCACAGTTCAATGATTTTTAGATGAACTACTCCACATGTGGAGGAAACTGTGAGTGCCGTATAGTCAGGTGACCTGTTTAGGCTTGAGCCTCTTCTTGCCTAATGCATGATGGGAAACACTCCAGCCCCTGAGACCAGAGCAATGATGAATGATTTAAAACCTGACAACATGAGATTTTAATGACGTCTGCTGAAGAGAAAAGTCAGTATTAAGCTGAGAGCTTATTTCTAAAGGTTGGACTCTACTAGAGCCTCGACTCATACACTGCACTGTGCAGCTGTTTATTTACAGAATTATCATTTACATGCAGAATCAGATCATTTACTACATAAAACTAGTTTATGTTGCACTTTTTGAGACCAGAGTCACTTTCAAAGTGCATTTAAAAAGCAGCAGAATATTTATCTATTTAGAGCAGAACAGAAAAGCTGGACACAATTTCTTCCAGAGCTTTCAGCCACATCTCACAGCTGTTATCAATGTTTAGATTTCACTAATGAATTAACTGATTAATTATCTGTCAAATAAAGTAAATAAAGTAAATTCAAAATAAATTCTATCAATATCAAATGTTTAAAATAAATAAACTAATTTCCACGTGAAGAGGCTTGTAAATATTTAAGAGAGAAACACGATAAATACTTCAGACATAAGGAGAACTGGGCCGTCTCCATGACAACTGAGCAAACAACATTCACTGATGAAGACTGACTGTTTACAATGTCAGGAATGAACTTTCAAACTAATGCTGGTGTTGGTTTGATGATCAGAGTAGAATAGAACAGAATAGAATAGAATAGAACAGAATAGAGTGGGAGTGCAGCTGACCTTCCTTCTTGTCGACCGTGGCGTCTCTGGGTTCAGGCAGGATGCAGGAGCAGAAGACGGACACCAGGGGGAGCTGTCGCATCTTCTCTTTGTAAGCTGGAGGAAACATAAATGAATCCATTCAGAATCAAATAAAAAAAATGACGTTAACGTGAACAAATCAGTCAGGAAATCAATAAGTAATAATTGGCTTTACCTGCTAGAGTCATCCTGCTGCTGCTGCTGTAGTTTTCTCTCAAAGACACTGTGGTGAGGTAGAGTCTGTTCCTGAGGACAGAGACACAGAGACACAGACACGAGTTAAACTACAAGAAGAAAACTAAAGAACTAAAGAGAAGTAAAAAAAGAGGAAGAGAAAAGTTTCTCTTTTTCTAAACATGAATCTGAACCTTCTGGAGGTCAAAGGTTGAACCTGGTTATTTTGCTTATGACTTGTTTTGGCATCTAATGCATCATTGAGTCATTTGTTTGCTTGTGTCATCTGCAGCTGACTAATGAATCAAAAGTTTCTTCTTCTTCTTGATTTTAAAATCGCTCTGCACGTCACAGATTTCCTCTGAACCTTCAGAGACCGAATGATTCTGACTCAAAGGTCAGATTTTGCTCATGAGGCAGATTTTCTTTCAGCTTGTTTGTGTGTTTTCAGAGCAATGACTCATGTGGTCGACTTCAGGAGATTAAAATAATTCCTCCAGAGTGAGAAACTGAATCAGCAGCAAACACAGAGACACGACGACGACCCTGCAGGAGTTTCACACTCGTGAATCAGCTGCAGCTGCTGCACGAAAACACCTGGACTGAGTCAGACTCCGAATAAAGAAACATCCAACATGAGCTAAGATCTGAAACAGCAGAAGCTTCTTCTTCTCTCACAGTTTAAGAGAAAACACCAGAGCTGCAGTTTCACCTTCTACCATCACTTCATCCCTCAGGCTGTTTTACATTCACTGTTTTAACTGCAATGTATAAACTAAAACCAACTGTGCATGTTCACATCACAACATCCAAACTACTTCAGGTCACAGCAGAGAGAAGAATCAAGGAAAAACATGAATCTGTCGCTAAAATCATCAGATGTTTTTTAACTGATTATCCTTTAAGGGTTACTGCAAACACAATGTACAAACTTTGTGTGTGCATGTGTGTGTGTGTGTGTGTGTGTGTGTGTGTGTGTGTGTGTGTGTGTGTGTGTGTGTGTGTGTGTGTGTGTGTGTATGTGTGTGCAGGGACTAAGCGATGATGTCATTGTTGCCAGTAAGCGCAGCAGCTTCTGCAGAGCAGCAGCTCCGACACTGAACTTCATCATGAAGAAGGAGAGAAAAGAAAAAGAAAAATAAGCAGCGAAGAACAGAAAGAAAGAAAAGATGAAAAGGACGAAGAAAGAAACTGCAGATGAATGAACGAGTGAACGAAGCAGAAAAACAGAATCAGATGAAACCGACTTTCATCTGCTCTGTTCTCTGAGAACAGGCTGCAGCAGGAAACATGCAGGAAAATACACAACAACATAAACAATCAAAAACAGATAGTAAATATAAATGTGTGTGTGTGTGTGTGTGTGTGTGTGTGTGTGTGTGTGGACTCACCCTGCAGTGATGCTCCGTCTCTGTTCTCTCTGTTCAGACTGAAGATCTGCAGCTCAGCAGCATCAGCACCTCACAGGCAGCCTGCTGCATGACATCACCCAGCAGCCAGCTGATTGGCCGGCAGGAATCCTGGGCTGTGATTGGTCCTGGAGGGTAGAGTGAGCAGGAGGAGGGGGGAGGTGAAGGAGGAGGATGAGGAGGGGGTGAAGTGAGGTGGGGGCTCAGAGCAGTGGTGGGTGTTTTATTTCGGAGGAATCCTCCTGATCTTCAACACAATCACTGCACAACGATGCGCGCGCACACACACACACACACACACATACACACACACACCATCATGTTTACAAAGACACACAGACCTGTGCATGAGCAGAGAGAGAGAGAGAGAGAGAGCAGCATCAACATTAAGAATAAATAAATAAATAAATAACTGTATTAATGCAAACTGATAATAAACATGACTTCTACCAAGATACATATAGAAAATAAATGTGTAATAATCCCATAAACCAGGAAACAACAGTTTGAGATTCATATGGTGACTGTTCAAACATTAGGTTTCTGTTCCTGCATCAGTGATTGGCTGATCAGCAACAGGTGTGGAGCTGCAGGTGTGTGCAGGGCTCCTGATGTCAAATGTGTCGACGTGCACAGGTGAGTTCAGACTCAAATATCTTCCTTAAATATCTGCTGTGCAAAAAGCCTCATGTTGTCTGTGTGAGTCCGTGTGAGTCCTGTGAGTCTGTGTGAGTCTGTGTGAGTCTGTGTGAGTCTGTGTGAGTCTGTGTGAGTCTCTGTGAGTCTCTGTGAGTCT